AATTGAGTAACCAGCTATATTCAAAAAACGTCCTTGCCAAGAAGAGAGCTTTTGCTGGACTTTTTGGAGTATAGGTGCAAAGGTCAGCTTAGTTACTCGTGAATGAATCAAAGGCACCCCCAAGTATTTGCCTAAATCAGCTGTGAGATCAATACCTAAGATCTGGAAAAGGGCTCGACCACAGTTGAAATGCACATTTTTTGAGTTGAACGCTTTAGATTTTGCCAAATTAATCTTGTGGCCAGAAGCAAGGCAGAACTTTGCCATGATATCTTTAATCAGATGCATTTGATCGGAGGAAGCTTCTGCAAATAAAATGAGATCATCGGCAAAGAAAAGATAGGAGATAAAGGTCCTCGTAAGGAGAATCTGAGTGGTTTCCATTTTTTCATAACACAAGTATCCTTTATGAGAAAACTGAGTCTCTCCATGCATAGAACAAAGATATAAGGACTAAGGGGATCTCCTTGACGAACACCACAAGACAGTCTAAAAGTTTCAGTTTCTTCCCCATTCCATAAAACACGCAGAGAAGTAGTAGTAATGCAGTTCATGATGATCTGAATAAGCTTGTTGTCTAGACCGATAATGTGAAGAGTTTGTTCAATAAAATCCCAGTCAAGTCCATCAAAAGCTTTCTCCATATCAACTTTAATTGCCATATAGCTTTCTCCAATAATGTGAAGTAGTATTTTTATTATATTGGTTCATTCTTTTATTTGCTTTCTAGAATTATGTATTCCTGATACACTGGCATCTTGTGCATTGTACACATGTACCATTCTTTGATTATATACAATATAATATTTAGGTTCCCTCAAGAATAGAGAGAGAATTTCATTCAGCTTTTAGTATTCTATCTTGATAACTTTGAATCATGTGATGAACTTCACTAATGAGATTAAAATCTGCCTAGATGACAAATAATTGATCCTAGATAAGTTGAATCACAAGAGATCTTTGCATCTCCATAACTACCATGCATATCTCAAGTTCTGCGAAGCCCATCTACAAAGCTCCGCTGCCACGCTAACTCCTCCGTTCAGCCTCAATATTGAATTGCTTTTGCATTAACACACATAGTGAAAAATAAATTGTATTATTTACTATTTTTAAATAATGTGGAGGGTCTAGATTGATAATAATCAAGGGGAACAAGAAAGTTGTAACCCATATTATGTTATGAGTATTACATCGGAAAGTCTCACAAGTGGTGTGGGGTTTGTAAGTTCAAGGGACTTTCTTTTCTAATAGACTAGTCTTTTAAGATGGGCTCTCCCTTTAAACTTATACTCGTTACATTTGTACTTCTATTGAAAGGCCGGTGTCATGGAAAAGACAATCCACGAAGGGTTTTGAACTACAAAAGGCCAAGTCAAATGTCATGGAGTGAAGCCGTCGAGGACGTCGACTCTTGACAGAGTGGCATTGTCATGAGTTTCACATTGAGGAGTCTCACAAGTGATATGAAACTTACAAGTTCAAGAAACTTCTCCTTCTAATAGGCCAGTCTTTTAAAATAAGCTCTCTTTAGACTCATGCTTGTTACATATTATCGAGGTTAAGTGTCGCCTTGAGACATGAGGAAAGACCATAGTTACAGGCACTTAATTAAATCAAACCGCTCATTGATTAGTTCTAGCAAGATTAAGGCATTGACATTGATCATCTCCGTTGGGAAGCAAATTAACAAATGAAATACATATGGAGCTAACCCAATTGAAAGTAACACTATTGGGATCTCCATTCCTCTCTATGTAATAATTTCATGCACTGGGCTTAGCCTTTCCTTTTGTCAAAACTTTAATGATTTAACGGTAACCCATTAAAAAGGTTCACGGCTAGAAATAAAAGAGAGGAGGAGGTCGACGAAATAAAAGGTGGTACTTGGTTGACATGTAATGGAGTCTTCTTGTTTTTTTTTTTTTTAATTTTTGATAAAGATATGTAATGGGATCTGTGTAAACTTAGCTCCTGTTTTAATGACTTCGTTGGCCCAATCAACGGAAGAGTTTTGTTGGGGTTATACAACGATGGGCTAGGCCCAGAGACGTAAGAATCTGACTCAGAGGGAAAAGTCACCTGGAGTCGGACTCATCGAGTGGCCGAAGCAAGTTTGATTCTTTGGACCATTGTTTGTTCTCCAGACTCCAGTGGAGAAAGCGGGGGCAAATAATCCCAGAAAATGATTAACTATATAAGAGAAAATTGCTAGTAAATCCCTTCTTGATATTGAAATCGTGCTGGAGAACTAAAGGTTGATACAAGCAGATCAAGCAAAGGGCCATGAAATTCCAAACCCATTTACTTGCACCCTGATCCTTTAGTCTTTCAGCACAACTTTGATCCTGAGAAGAAACTTACTGGCAATTTCCCCTAACTAAAATTGATATTCCACCGTTGAGAAAGATGACAAAAAATAAATGCCTCTAAAAAGGCTAAATTATTACACAATCTCTTTGAATATTAAATCATTACTTACACTTTATAAAATCATTTGTACCCTCTCTTAGATAATCACAGAGACTGTATGTGGATTATACAGATTAAAACATCGATCTTATTTATTTATTTATTTATTCCTTTTAAATTAATTTTATTGGCAAACATAGAAAAAAAATAAAATGGAACTCTAAAAATACGTAATATTTTTATTGCCTATGACCTGTGACTGTGTCGGTGAGATGTGAGCTACCCCGCCACCGCGAGGCCCTAGTTCCTCCAGTGAGGAGATATTTCAGTGAGCTATATATCAATTGGTTTGCTGTTGAAGTCCATTTTGACGGCTGATGAATGAGTGTTGTCGTAGCAGGATGATAGCATTGGTTTAATTAATTAGTTTTTTTTTTCTTCTTCTTTTTTTTTTTGGTTACACATAGGTGGGCTTCTATCATTTCAGAGACAATTATTTTGGAGACACGATTAAAAATGTTAGGATCTTTCTTGTAAAGATTCAAATTTTAATTTATTATAACTAATATCTTTTTATTAAACTCAATCATTAGTTAATTAATTTATTCTTTATGAAAGTTGTTCATCATCTCATCTTCAAAGGGACCAATTACCCCCTTCGCATATGGTGAACTATGTATCACTTTTTTTTTTTTTGTGGGTTTACAAATTCTTCCACTAATCTTGCAAATAAATTATTGTCAAAACTCCCTATATAGTTGAATCACGACGTTCCCCCACTAGACACACTCATCACATTTAGTGCAGCAAGAAATCAACTGGTTGGCACATTAATTGGAGTCATATTTGGTGGCTCCAGATGATAGTCACCGATATTCAGGATCATGATATGCTCCATTATACTGAATTGTTATATTTAAAAACGGAGGGAGTATGTTACATTGACTGTTGGGAATCACTATATATATATATATATATATATTCCCTGCCAATGGTCTAAAGCTTATCATCACCTTATCATCTTTTTCTTTTCTTTTTTTTTTTGTTGGGCTAGGGTGGACAATGACGTAGGACGCTTAATCGTTCCAGAATCAGGATAATATACTAGTGGCTAATTAAAGATTATTGTTTATTATTTTTCATGTGCAGCAGAACCCCGTGAACGTATAAGCTTTCTGCTGTTAATTAAGCTCTGTTGTTACTGCCTCTCATGTTTTTGTGTTCTTAATGTTAACCAACTTTGATGCTAATTTATAAGATATTTAAATAAAATTACATACATTAATAAAACTTATTAAATACACTTTACAACTTTATTTTTAAAAAAATATAAATTTTTAAAAATACTCTTAGTTTAATACTCATCTAGTTCTATTTATAAATTACTTTCAATATATTTTACTGAAACTAAGAAAAGCTTTAAAACTTATTAACTCATAATCTCTCAAATTTGCCCCTATTGAATATACATATTTTAACAACATATTTTCTCTCTCTAATATTCAATGGAAGATAAAATAGAAAATTTGTGATAAAAATTTAATGATGTAACTGATAAATAAGGCAAAACAAAAATCTTATCTCTCTATTTTACAAAATAAGACTAGAATGTGTATCACCTTAAAAGATTGAAGAGAGAGAAAAATAAGGAGGGATGGGTAATATTGAAAAGATACATTTAATAAAACTTTATTTTTTTAATTGTCTTATATTTTAGAATGCAAAATCACTTCTAAAATTCTCTTACAATTTAGAACAGAGATAATACTATAAAATAAAAAGTAAAAAGTACTCATCTGATATAGCAAATAGTATTTATTTTGATTCTATTTACAGGACATTACATTAATTATTGTATCCCTCTTTACCAATGTTGAGAAAGTTATTAAACATTGAAGTGTTTTACTTTTATAATATATATATATATATATATTTAATAGGAATAAAGTTAGAATTTTGTTAAATTGTTAAATAAAATTAATGACATTTAAAGTTTTTTCTCCTTCCAATAAAGTAGGTGATTTATAAATAAGAAGGAACTGAGTAGAGCATATTCTTTTTGGCCAGAGAGTAGAGAGTATATTCAAAACATGTATCATGACGACATATATATATGGACAGGTTTCTATGTGCTCATTTCTGAGATGAGATCTGAACCATATAGATTTTAATTTAAATGGTCTAGATTTAATGCAATATTATATATGATATTTATTAAAATAAAAAAATATAAAAAATATAATATAATTTCAATAAGTTTTTTATTTTTAGCCTGATCTAAATTTAATTTAGGGGGTCCAATTTAATATTAAAATTTTTATAATTAATATATATTAATTATAAAAATTTTAATATTAAATTGGACTCTTTAAATTAAATCTAGACCAAATTTAAAATAAAAAATTTATAAAAAATTATTTTAATAAATTTTTATTTCAATTAATATAATATATAATAATATAATAATATCTTAAATTTGTACTATCCATGTTAAAAATTTGGATGGTTCAAATCTTATGAGCAGCACGTTCTCCTATGTATATAACCCTCGTCAGCTGCATTGCAAAGTTCACATTTTGAGAAGCTAATAACTGTAAGCCGTAGGTGGTGAATTTAATACAACAATAGTACAAAGCAAAATAAAAAGATCTTCAGACCTTATTGCTATATATAAATACAATATTGCCTGAATGAATGGCCGGCCCGTCATTCAAGCGGAAAACGAAGCAACTACAAACTCATACAGACACTTGAGAATTAAAACCTCCAACTTTCAATCCTATGGAGGAGGAATCACTTGATTAATTAAGTTTCAAGCTGGTGGAGGTGCAGGATCTTCCGTTTGATAGAAAGGGTACAATTCGTAGCGAACATTACAGCTAGGGTATAGAACTCTTCCTCCTTGCTTTCCAGTACAACACCAGTTAAGGTCCCCGATCACTCCGCTCAGGCACCTTCTGCAATCTTCCGGCGAAAGGTCTGGCGTGCACTGAGCTAGACAATACAGAGTTTGAAACCCCGAAATAAAAGCTTCTTTCGTCGCGTACTTCTTTTCACCCAAAGCCGGTTTCGCCGCCACATCTGCCGTCTCGTTCATTGTATTGAACAGTAATCTCATGAAGCTTACCGGGTTGGCGATATCGCCGGTGTTCAAGAGGCCGAGTCTTGGCCTCGTGTCCACGGTGGTGAAGAAGGAGCTGTTGGAATAGCGAAGCATGCACTCGTCGTACCAGATTATGGCCTCCTTAGAAAATTGGCACTCGGAAGTTAATCTTTGTTTTGCCTCAATGACGCATTGGTGACACACCAGGAGGGTGACGTCACCCCGGCACATGAAGAGGCCGTAGGCATTTTCTCCGCCACCGGCAACAGTGGTGTTGTAGAATTCAGTGTTGGCGGTGTTATCCGAAGCTAAGGAAGAGAGGAGAGTGGTGAGATCAGATTGAAAGGCACTATTGGCAGTGAAGGTTTTGTTGGAAGAGCAGACATGGAAAAGGTAAGTAGGTTGTGCTTCAGAGGTAGAAGAATAGAGGAAAGTGATAAGGAAGAAGAGAAGGATAGCCTTGTAGGAAGCCATAATCAACATATAAAGGCAAAGACTTACGAGTTACGACCTATACAGGCAAGGTCTTTATAGTTTGAGGAAGTTTTTGATTATTGGGTGCATTATAGTAGCACGTGAGGTAGATTGACGAATGATGATTGTGAAGCTCGAAGCTGGTCAATGAAATTGAGGAGATGGAGCTAAGTCAAGTTTTGCTACTTCTCGAAGAAGCCATTAACAAAAAATGAATTTGCAATTAAGATGCGCGCGCGCGCGCATATATGCGGAGGGTAAAATTTTAATATTTTTTATTTAAGTGCAAGATAAAAATATTAAAACCATGTTCTTCTAGCAGCCGCCGCTAGTTTTTAAAAGACGATAAAGTTTTATTTAATAAGAATTAAAAATAAAAAATTTTGGATTTAGTCGTCCATGCAAAGTTCAAACGTTGAATTTATTTCGATAATTCAAAGATGAGCACATATTTAACACCCAGCTCCAACAAGGCTATTAGTTTAAAGGAGCCAGAGACAGCGGACAGAAAAACTGGGCATATTGCTGGTTGTTAAAGCGTGATGAGGAAAATAAAGGGAGGCTGCCCCAAAAGTCACACTAAGACGGCGTCATGACAGTTATTAAACAGCATGCCGTATCGATGCTTCGAACAGAATGACAATATTTTTCGTATATTAGTGTTAGATTCGACTTATGACTTTTCAGAATCGGATTTCCTGCATGGTGCTAATTATTAATTAGTTGACCATCGTTAAATATTAGATAGTAATGCAAAAATAAAAAAACACAATAATATACCAACACATCTAGCAGAAGCAACTAGTCCCTAGTAATATATGACATATCAATGTTGAAATGCTTGCTTTAAGAGATGTCATCCACATTAATGGTCAAGTCATATCTCCAACAGGATTCCTTATTTCTCTCTCTTTTTTTTAATATTATTACAGTGGTTTGAATCTAGGCGTTACCGTTGTAAAAAATTATAGTACACACACCTCTTTCATTCCCAGTCCGCGTTAGTTTATCTTTAAAAATCAACGGATCTGAAGACTTAAAATAGTTGTTTGTATTCTTCAAAAACATTAGCATTATTTTGAAAATTATTTTCATGCTTTTGAAATTCAGGTCATTTTTTGTTTTTATGAAATATTCTCCAAATTAGAGCCTCTTGATATAGTTGACCTTTATTTCATGAGCACCTATGATACTTTCCTAATTGCAAACATTCCCACAACAAACTTCTTGAAAGTTGTCGTGAAACCGCAGCACTAACTAAAAAAATTATGTATATAGATTGCAGTTTTGACTAGTGTATCAAAAGGACAAGTCATAAACTAAACAGTAATTACGCCATGTCAAAGTTCATACTATGTACAAACCAAACCACATTCCTGAATTCAATTCAATATATGAAAAACAATCATTTGCTATATATTCACCATCTTGTCCTTGATATAGCCGTAATTTAGATGTTATTATCTTGCAGCAATTTAATAATATTTAGTAAGTCTTTATTTTTTTTATAAATACCCTTATGCATTGTGGCCTAGATGGATTATTTGAGAAAGAAACCTAATGCAGCTAAAATAGGTTAATTTTTATTTTTATTGGTGGAGGGTAATCATAAAAATTAATGATAATTTTTGACAATATCAATAATTTAAATTATTTTAACTAATTTCCTTAATTTACATGAAGCAATTGAACGTGGCTTTTGGTTAAGAAATAGTGGAAGTGGCTAAAGCATTGGCGTATTGGTATCAAGATTTGAAGAAGTATATATGAAAGTGCATTTTTTATTTTATTATTTAATACATCATAAATATGTTTCCACCTATTGCATCTTTTCCATAATAATTAAAAAAGACAAAAAGTAATGCACAAAATGCGCTGAGAAATGCATCAGATCCATTTCCAAGGCTCTCGATAGTCTACAATGATCCTTGATGCGTTTATGGTATAGGAGATCATGAGCAGCCTACGAGGCCGTTGCTTTATTCTTAAGCTTATATGAAGAGAAAGAAGAGAAAGAAGCTAAGTCCTTAATTGCACCAACAACGCTGTCCCGATAGTTTACTCTGCTGAATCGTGCCACTCTCATCTATCTATTTCCGAAGTATTCTGCAATTTTATAAGAGACAAAAGTTAGCAGCCTAGACCCAAATCTCAAGCGAAGAAAACATGTATAAATAATGATCACTTTAAAGGACCAAGTATCTATGTGGTACCAATGTCATGTTCGCACTAGATATAACATATATATATATATATATATATTATTGTTTCTCAAGTGTCTTTGATTTAAACCTGGAGTACCTGAGGGACGAGAATGCCTGGAATTGAAAAACGGGTAGAATTCATATCTGATGTTGCAGGCAGGAAGCAACACCGTGGCTCCTCTTTTTCCGTCGCAGCAATTAGGAATAGCAGCGATGGCGCTTCTCAAACACGTATTACAGTCGAACACTGTAAGGTCCGGGGTGCACTGTTCTAATCCGTACAGCGTTTCTGTTCTTGTGAAGTTCACTTGCTCGGTCGCAAACTTGGTCTGAGATTTCAAAACTTTCGCCGCCACAGAATTTAGCATCCCGGCCAGCAATTGATTGAACCTCTCCTTGTCCTCCGGAGCTATGTCCTCCGTACTCGACAGGTCCGTCGAAGGTACGATTCTGTTGAAAGATTGGTTCGAGTATCGAAGCATGCAGACGTCGTACCAGATTATGGCCTCTTTCTGAACTGGACAACGGCGTTTTATCTCTCCAGCCGCGGCGGAGACGCAATCACTGCAGGTGGCGACCACGATGTCGCCACGGCAGAGGAAGAGGCCGTTGACGATGTCGGGGGTAGCATCACCGGTTCTTGTTCGGTAGAAATGGCTGCCATCGCGGGCTTTAGAAGAAAGAGAAGAGAGGAGAAGGTTGAGGTTGGTTTCAAAAGTGGTGTTTGGTTTATAACTAATGGAATCAGTGCAAGCATGAGAACTGTAAATTGGATCTGCTTCCGTTAGAAAGATCAAGAAACTAAAGAAGGAGAGGAAAAAAAAGTACTTTGAGTTCGAACTTGACATCTTGATAATGTTAGGTTCTGGTGCTTCTCTCATGAAACTTAGCAGTTGTTTGGATAAATTTTCTTGAACCAGACACATTAAATTTTGCTTGAAAAAAGAAAAAAATCAAGCGGAGCTTCCCCACCTCTGGCCATTGGTCCCACCAAAAGTGAGGAAAAATCTCAGCGCACATAAAAAATAATAACAATTGGTTTTGCTGTTGAAGTCCAATTTGATGGCTGAAGAGAGAATGTTATCAAATAGCTAGCTGGATCTATAGAATTTTGTAGCGTTAATTAGTTAATTCTTAGAGAGTTGTTCATCGTCTTATCTTCAAAGCATATACAGGGGCGCCATCGTCTGATATAGAGTATAATCCCTTTCCTTTGCTTGTTTTTCATCCTTCTATATGGATGACGATGTATATGTTTTTTCAAATCCATCTAGAACGATGCTAAATAAATTATTGTTATAACTACATAGTTCGAGTCATGATGATGTCCGCTAGGCATGGTGGGAATTTTCAAATCCTTCAAGGGTTATATCGCAGGATGATGATGTTGCCTAGCTCGTTTCATTAATATAGACGACTGAGTACTGACAAATGAAAGTTGGGTCTAATAATAAGAAGTATCAATCCCTTACAGCGTGATGAATTAATGATTATTGGAAGAGATACTTTTTTTTTGACCAAAATTTAAAAGAGATACTTATATTTAATGCTTGACTAGTTTCAAACAAAAAATTATTTTAGTAAAAAGGATACTTGTCTCCAATTAAAAAAATATGGATTCACTTTCACTGTTCATGAAGAATCATGGTGGAAAGTTTATCACCATCTTTATTTTTTTTCCATTGAGGTGAGAAAATGATGTATTATGTGCGAGCACTTTCAAATCCATTTAAAATCAGCCTTAAACTATACGCTAGTTGCTTCATAGCATGGTTGTTCATTATTTATCCATCAGTTGTACAAAACCTTGTGAATGTATAAAAATGATGTGTTGTTGCTGCTGCTTGAAAAATGACAAACAATTTGACTCAAAAATCTTCCTTCTAATAGTTTCTGTTATCGTAATGTTGTTAAGGAGGACATAGAAACTAAACATAAACAGTTAAAATATGGGAAGGCATGTTATGTTACTATTTCCACGTCTTCTACGTTGTAAAATTGACATTTCAGGAGAGGCCAATAATTATTGGCAGATTCAACGCCAAATACTGCAGAGGGAAAATAAGAAGTCGTCTGCGGCCCACAGTTATGGGTGTAAATCCTACTCATACAGTTGCCTGGATGGATGACCCGTGATTCACGCTGAAAAGTCAGCAACTAGCCAACTAGAAAACTCATAATATTCTAAGAGTTCAAACTTTGGTCACAATGAACAATTGGTGGCCCAAATAAAAATTTTCGACTCGGATGACAATATATTTGTGTGTGTAAGATAAAGTATAAATCAACGTCATATATTTTTAAATGTTTTGAATTCATTAAAATTGCATGTTTGGTTTTTCAATTTACTTTCTCTGAATGCAAGAAGCAATATTCATTTGTTAGATTTGGTAAAAACACCTTTTAAATATTGATCAAATTTTCCATTTATATATATATATATATATGAAAATATGTATATCATTTAAACAAATCCATTTCTTACTATAATTTTAAATTCCCTTACCATAGTTGTTAAAAATTCTAACCATTCCAACTCCCTCATTCTCTTCGCATCAGTAATTCTATCGCTCTTGTCTTTTATCTCCTCTTTCATTTTTATCTCCGGCCAATTGAAGAATAAAGATACATTCGTTATTTATATTTATTTTTTTTTACTTCAAATCTCAAATTATATCTCTTTTAACATTTTTATACTATACAAACAAATGATTTTAAATAGATAATGTTTAAATATAAGATTTTAAATTCAAAACTCAAATCCAAATTCAAATCTATTCAGTTCAAACACCTCCTTAGAGATTTCTTTCTCTCTCTTTTTTTCATTTTCAAGTTGCTATATTTGTGTAAGAGCAATTGCTATGCTTCTTATAATACGTTCGACCCTAAAAGCAAGGGCTCAATGGCTCTTACGCTGTGTTTGGTATGGGGTCAGTTCAAAAAAATTTTGTAGTGCCTTTGGCTTTGGGGAAAAAAAAATTAATGTAGAGGATCCTTGTTTGGTTAAACAATTTTTAATGGAGGCCCCGCCCTATCCTGCTCGCCAAAAATGGGGAGACAACATCATTGATCATCCAATATTCCAAGAAGTGGTTGTATTGAAGCATATTAAGTCTGATTTTCAGACAACATCATTGATCATCCGTTCTAGGAAGTGATTCAGGCGGCTAGGATATTAGTCCAAAGAGATTGGCCAATGAGTATCTGCTAATACTTTGTCTAAAGTTGCTCATGATTTGATTTTTTTTTTTTTTTTTGAGTTTTTGATCATCCTCCACCTTGCAAACTGATGAATGATGAGATAGTGTCTAAAAACAGTTAATACATCTACATGTTAACTTGCTTTAGCTTGCTGCTTTAGTTTGAGTAATATATCAGTTTCCTTAATTTTATTCAAGAAAAGAGTTCAAGTTATTTCATCTTGCACTCAGTTGGCTCATATCACTATAAACTTAATGATAGATTAATGGAGCAGCTTGCTGGATGTCATGAAGCAGTGTTAGATGAAGAAAAAGGTAAGAAGAGCAGGGATATGATTTGCGAAATTTAAAGGCATTATGTCACAGAGAAGTTTATTTGATAATATTGCCAATCTATTATTAAGTCCATACTCCATTTGCGTCTGAGTTTGACTGAACCAATCCGAGGCCTACTCGGCCGAACTTGAGCCCGACTAGCCCATTCATACCCTATCTACTGTGTGTTTACTTATAAAAAACATCGGGCCGAGCCCGTAAGTGAATGATGAACCGAACGAATGAAAAAGCAAAGGACGATCCCACATATCACAGCTAAAATAGTAAAATCCATTTCCTTATTGTATAAAAAGTAAAATAAAATCCATGTTATTAAAAAAAAATTAATCCATTTCCATGTATATACATTGTGCTCGATCCAGGTATGATCTACCATTAGAGTTTCGCACTTGATCGCATTTCTTAATCCTCCTTTTTATACTTTGGTTCCAATTGCGATTCCATTTTAATTGGCTTAAATTATAGTTTACAGGCTTAAAAGCCAGTTAAGGGTGAAAAAACATATTTAGGTAAGACTAAGAGTAGTTGGCAAATGGGATTTTCTTTCCCAACTCTAGTTATGCTAAAAACTAAATTTTGAAGCTTTTACGTTAGTTACGTTAAAATATAATTGTTAGCAGCATTTAATACCTTTTAAATTTATTAAATAATCTATTTATTCTTTCACATTTTCTTTAGAAATTTGATATTTTTATTATTTTTAATTTGTGTGTGTTTATATGTTCTTTAAAGAGATCTAATTAATTTTCAATATTTAAAAATATTTTCTACCTTAGTACATTAAATTTTTTATTTTTATAGTTTTAATTTTAATTTTGATATTTTTTTCTTAAATTCATCAAATTGCATACTTGTGTGTGTAGAGACATTTCCTGTCCTTTTTAGTTTTTCTACCAATCCATGTCCTTTTTAGTCATTATATATTTAAACTTATTTTTAATTATATTATCCAAATAAATTTTAGTTTGTCAAATTAACTTTTTATAAAAGAATATCTAAATATAAATTACATTACAATAATTAACTTTTAACCCAACTTTAATTTGCAAACTGTACTTTATGCAAAATGTAGTCGTGCAAATGTTAATCCAAATAAGCTTGGAGTGATGTGATCCATCTCCAAATCTTAACTTCTTTGTCCTATTATTCATCAAGTTATTTTCAAGTATATAAAAGTAAATTAATGACATGATAAAATAATCATAAAATCAAAATATTATACAAGAACCAAGATCTGTTTAAAACCTCATAGCCTCTTCACTGAACCTCTTCTTTCTTCTGGGGCTATGTTCTATTTAGTGGGAGCCTTGGAGGTATTATGTTCTTTGAGCCATTAAAGTCTCTCCAACGGTAACCTTTAAATAAATTTTCAAATATAGTCCTTTTATTGAAAAACAAGTTATATGCCGATAAGCTCCTTGGAGCCTTATCGCTTGAAGAGAGAGAAGCTCAAAAGGAAGAGAAAAATATAGTACACTTTATAGTTGGAATTAGACATTTCTGAACCTTAACATTTGTTTAGAAAATATTGTAAAATTCCACTAATATTTGATGTATCGTATACAATTTTTAATCATAATTTTCTGATAAATACTAAAACAGAATATCTCTATTCATGTCCATAATATCAATAGATTAGTGTTTCTCAATGTCAAGGATCACATGGAATTAGGCAGTCCAAGATTGACTTTTTCAAAGCGCGTTAGTTAGTCTCTCACAATGCCTAGAACTATAATAACCCCAACTAAGGGTGGACGATTTGTCATCACCTTATCATCAGTGGATAATGATTTAGCAAGCATAACCCTTTTCAAATTCTTCTAGAATCAGCCAATCAGGCTAATAAACTAGCGGCAAAGGGCTTCATATTATTGGTTTTGTTATTCACGAGTTGCTGAAAACATTGTGAAAGTGCAGCAGCAAGCTGTACTGCTTGTTGCAAAATGACAATATTCATGTTTCAGTGTTCTTACTGTTAATGAGTAAGTGAAAACTGAAAGCTACGACATCAAAATATGTTGGATTGCAAGTTGCTATACTTTTCAAGTCTGCTACATTGCAAAATTGACCCTTTGAAAATCCAATAATTATTGATGGATACGACTCAATATCACAGAAGGAAGGTAAGAATATCGCTATAAATACAACTTTGCCCCAATGACCTGGAAATTCACACTGAAAAGGAAGGAACAACGAACTCAAATAGTATTCCAGCGAACTCTTGGACCACTTAGATAGAGGCACGTGTGCATTAAAACCTCCAACTTACAAGCTTACCGAGGAATTACTTCACTAACAGACATCTCATTGACTGACATTGGTGCTGACTTGGTCGTAGATTGACCAAATTGAAAGCCTTTTGGCATGTTAGGATCAGTTCCACTTTGCATAAAAAATGCAGGCTGCGAAGGGGTTGGCAGAGTCACGGAGTAACTATCAAGCATCAGAACTATGGAAGCCATTGTAGGTCTTTCTGCTGGATCTTCTTGAACACACAGAAGACCAATGTGAACACATCTCATAACTTCATTTGGAGTACAAGATTCTCTTATTATGGGATCCAACAGTCCCAAGGGCTCTCCATCCTTCCAAAGTTTCCAGGCCTGTATCAAAATATTGTAAACTATTTGTCATGCTGAGATCACAGTATTTTTCCTTTTCACAGAAAGCAAATGATTTGCTTGAATCAAACCAGAGAGAGTAGTGTTTGATATACTCACATAGCTCAGCAGGTCCTCAGCACCCTCCATTTGATAGAAAGAACTATTCTTCTTCCCACTTATAATCTCCATTAGAAGGACACCAAAGCTGTATACATCAGACTTAACAGAAAACTCCCCGTGCATGGCGTATTCCGGAGACATGTAACCACTAAAACATTGAATCATCAAAAGAGAACTGTTAGTGCAGGGAAAATTGCACAGATGTCTGGGCTGGTGGCAGTTCTTTCTTTGTCAAAGAGAAGATGCCAAGATATTTTATTAAGATTGCAGGGATATGTAAATTTGTTCTTACTATGTTCCAACAATGTGACTGGTGTTTCCTTGCGTTTGGTCCACCATAAAAATTCTTGCCATACCAAAATCTGAGATTTTTGGACTCATATCACTATCCAATAACACATTGCTAGCTTTAAGATCACGATGTATAATTTTAAGCCTTGAATCTTCATGAAGATATTGAATGCCCCGAGCAATTCCTTTGACAATCTTGTAACGCTTTGTCCAATCTAGTTGTCTTTGCTTTGCAGGGTCTACACATTCCACAAGAAAAAAATAAATTAAAATGTCAAATAAAAGAAAAGTAAATTGACTCAAAAATAAAAAGTGAAGCAATGCTTCCTCCATCTTAGTCTCAAACATAATGAGAAAAAGTTGGAAAACTAAAATCTAGCAAATTAAGTGTGAATTACGCAGAATTGATACAGATGAACTTACCAAAAAGAACGTAATCAAGACTTTTGTTGGGCACATATTCATAAACAAGTATCTTCTCTTCTCCTTGCACACAGAAACCCAGAAGCCTCACTAAATTTCTGTGTTGTAGCTTGGCAACCACTTCTACTTCATTCTTAAATTCTTGTACACCTTGTCCAGAGCTTCTAGAGAGTCTCTTCACAGCAATTTCTTGCCCATTTGGAAGTATGCCCTGAATTTCAAACATAAAGTCAAACACGAGTGTATGGTGCGGCCTAATTTTCTTCATGTCAAAAACCAAGAAAGCAAACAAACTTGATACCTTGTAAACTTCTCCAAATCCGCCTTCACCAAGCTTGTTATCTGCAGAGAACTTGTCCGTGGCTGCTTCAACTGTACTGAAATCATATTGCAGTGAATCCACATTGCTGATGTCACTTGCAGCTACACAACCAAATGGTGCATGCGTAAGATAAGATAAAGTGAAAACAGAAGAGCAAGCAGATATGAGACAAACGAGGAAAGAGTTCTTATATTTCCAATTGACTCTCTCACAGTCTTACTCAACATGAGATCCTTACATTTTCCATGGGGAACAGAGTCATACTTCTTCCTCATTCTCTTACTCAAGCAACAAATGCCGACTATAAATATCAGGACAGCCACTGAAATCGGAACCACAATCGCAACAATCGTCCCTGATGAGATCCCACTTTTTCCTGCATCATCCCAAAAACACAAAAAGGAAATATATGTAATAAGGTAAACTCATGAAAATAACAGAGAAACCAACTTGTCTCGACTAATATTCCACACCCAAGTCTGCTTCGTTCAAGATATTACAAATCATTCGGTTATTTTGTTCTTTTAGCCCACTTAGATTAGATGTTTTTCCACAGTTTTGAACCCTCCTCTTCTTTTCTTTCGCTCTCCATTCTACTTAGCTGTTTATTCACAATTTTAAACTCTCAATTTTGGCAACCTATGGCCCAAATCATCAAACAGATGAGAAATGTAAAGATGGTACAAAATATCCCAAGCATACAGGTAATAGGTTTACCTTGGGAACCTGTAGTATAAGTCGGAGGAACAATTGCCGGTGACGGAGTTGGTGCTTGAGCTGCCGATTGATAGAAAGGGTACAATTCATAGCGAACATTACAGCTAGGGTATAGAACTCTTCCTCCTTGCTTCCCATCACAACACCAGTCAAGGTCCCCAATCACGCCACTCAGACACCTTCTGCAATCTCCCGGCGAAAGATCCGGCGTGCACTGAGCTAGACAATACACCGTTTGGAACGCTGAAAAATTCGCTGTTCCCGTCGCATACTTCTTTTGCCCCACGGCAGGTTTCGCTGCCTCGTCTGCCGTCTTGTTCATCGTATCGTACAATGTTCTCATGAAGCTTGCCTGGTTGGAGACGTTGCCGGTGTTCAAGAGGCCAAGTCTAGGCCTTGTGTCGACGGTGGAGAAGAAGGAGCGGTTGGAATAGCGAAGCAAGCACTCATCGTACCAGACTATTGCCTCCTTCGAAGCTCGGCACTTGGAAGTTAATCGTTGGGTTGCGTTAACGACGCATTGGTGGCACACCGAGAGGTTGACGTCACCCCGGCACATGAAGAGGCCGTAAACGGTGTCGCCGCCACCGGAAACGGTGGCGTTGTAGAATTCGGTGTTGGTGGTGTTGTTGGAAGCTAAGGAAGAGAGAAGTGCAGTCCGGTCCGATTGAAAGGCGCTATTGGCAGCGAAGGTTTTGTTGGAAGAGCAGTTGTGGTCAAGGTAAGTCTGTGCGTCGGAAGTAGGAGAATGGAGGGAGGTAATGAAGAAGAAGAGTAAGGCAATTTTGTAGGAAGCCATGACCATGGACGTCATGATGGTAACGGTGAAGGATGCTTCAGATGTATTGGAGATGAGGCGTCAGCTCTATAGCTTCTGGAGTTATTACTGTGTGTATTTCCATGGCAAATAGGAGAGCATCTTTCATGAGGAACAAGAAGATATTACTGTGGCTGAGACTTGAGAAAGAGATGAGTTGACGATGAAGAAGGTGGAAGCAAGTCAACCAAATTTGTTCGCAGAAGACTTCTCAATTTCTTGTTGGAAAGCCTTGGCTATAATAAATCGGGCAAACGGCAAACCCACTCAACCAGGGGTTTCCTCAACCAAAAGGTGAGTACAGTAGCAACTCATTCAAAGCTATTCAGGTCATTTAGTTGTTTTTTTGGTCAACACGTCATTTAGTTTAATTTAAATTATATTTACTTTTTTGTATTAAGATTAGTGAATGGTAAAATTTTAATTTTTAAAAAAATTATTTTTAAGTAAATTTATTACACCCTAATGAGTAATGAATTAGTCCATTGTTTTTAGAATTATACAATCTTTTTATATTTATTTTTATTCAATAGTATGTTTTGATGAAAAATATTATTAATCATCCTTTCTAATTAAAAATATTTTAAAAAATATTAATTATATTTTAAAAAATTTAAAATATCTTATATTTTTAAATATTTTATCCTATAAAAAATACCATGTACTGTTTTCAAAGGGAGGGAGTAAGTAAAAGCGGAATGGCGTATAAATTAACCTATGCCTCTTTCATGAAAGGAACTTAGGAAAAACAAAAAAAAGCATGACTTTGAGACTTGAATGGCGGGTCAAATGGGACAAAAACCGCGTGTTGGTTGTGGAAATTAAAGGCCACGAAAGGTGGAAGAGTCGTCCGAGGATGGGAACCTGATTGTTTTAACTGAAGCGTTCTATTTCAATATTTGCATCAAATTTTGCGTTGAGATTTAAGAGAAAATTACAACGCAATTCAAATTTTAAATTTAAAAAAAATCAAAATCACTTATTCATCAAAAGATGAATTATCATTGTATTGAAAGTTAATGGCCCTGTTACACATTTTGTTGTATATATGTCACCTTCTCTTGTTAATTACTCCTTTTAGAACACAAGACATATTTTAAAAACATTACTAGATTTAAAACATAAGACATTAAATAATTTTTATATTTATTTTTATAATTATATCCCTGCTTTATTTATTATTTTTTTAAAAAATTATGTATGGAAATTTTAATTATTATTACCAAGGCTTTTACATAAAATATTTAATGAGGATATAAATTAAAAGATGTAAAAATTTTTAAGAATTTAAGATTTTAACTAATATTATTTATGAATTAATTAATTATAATTTATATTGTGATGTGGAATAATAATTATCAATAGTTTTGGAGCTAAACTAAACTGGTTTCCCCCCAAGTTTATGCTAAATTACACCTGATAAATCTCGTGCGTCCCCACATGAGCACAGTTTATAAGAGTATTTGAAAAGACCACGCATCACATTATCCATCAAGAAAAACGAAAATGCAAAGGGCAGGTTTGGTCTGAGACTGTGAGTGCCTTGGGGCCCCAACATTGAAGATAAGAAAATGAGTAGCCATCATACAATTAGCTGAACTGTGATATTTCATGAAAATGACAGTTAGATTGCCTTTAAAAAATAAATTAAAAATATATAATTATATATTTAAAAATTTAATTATAAAATATATATTTCAATATCAAATGTAATCTTAAATTATAATCAACATTTTTATTTATAATAATTTCAATTAATATTTATAACTCATTGTTTCGAAAATTTTGTCAATTTATTAATTCAAACTTTCATTTCTTACTTTTGGTGGGTACTTGCGCAATAGTACCTAGTGGGGAGGATCCACTTAACAAGTCGCAACATATAGACGTATATGTTTTTCATCCTTCTTAATTAATCATGTATGATAATTCTAGTTCATTTTCTGTAAAATCTACAGGAGTATATGATTAACAAAGATTCAAAGATTAATCACAGCTATATAGTAGTTGAAGTGAGTCCATCCATAATATTTCAAGTTACTTTTCTGGACACAATAGTTCAATCCATTTGATAAAAATGATAAGCAGAGCAGTACTAAACTCTTGCTAAAGTTACGTGAGATTTTCTTCCACGCACTTTCATTACTCATTACTACCTTTTTTTTTTTTTTTAAACTTCATTTGACTCTTTGGCATTTAAGTATAGAATTTTTTGTTATTTAAATGCCTTAAGGCAATCATGATGATACAAGTAAATTTACCCAACACACACCCCTTGTCACTTGTCAGTGGCTTGTCCTTTGGTTTTCTATAGCATCTTTTTTTCATTGACATAAAAGCATTCAAATTGGCCAAGATTCTCAAACAAACACAAAATAATAAATAATAATTGTTAAGTGGCAGGACAGAAATGAACCATCACCACCAAGTGCAGGCCTTTCTCCTAAGGGACATCACCAAAATGCCTAATTCCAGGTCATCTGTTCTAGTCTTCTTCCTCATTGGCCTCTTTTCTTTCTTTCTCAGTGAAGCTGCTCCAATTTACAGTTCTCATTGCTGCACAGATTCCATCAAATACAAACCAAACTCCACGTTCCAAACCAACCTCGACCTCCTGCTCTCTTCTCTCTCTTCCAACGCCACCCAAGGCAGCCGTTTCTTCCGAACCCGAATCGGCGACGGTACCGTCAACGGCCTCTTCCTCTGCCGCGGCGACACCCTCGCCGCCGCTTGCAGTGACTGCGTCTCTACCGCTGCCGGAGAGATAAAACGCCGATGCCCGGTTGAGAAAGAGGCCATAATCTGGTACGATGTCTGCATGCTTCGATACTCCAACCAATCTCTCAACAACATCGTACCTTCCACAGACCTGTCGAATATGAAGAACGTTTCGCCGGAGGATAAGGAGAGGTTCAATGAACTGCTGGCCGGGATGCTGAATTCTCTGGCCACGAAAGCTGTGAATTCTCAAAAGGGAAATTTTGCAACGGCAGATGTGAACTTCACGAGAACAGAGACGCTGTTCGGATTAGTACAGTGCACGCCGGATCTGACGGTGTTTGACTGTAATATGTGTTTGAGAAGCGCCATCGCTTCTGTTCCGAATTGCTGCGACGGAAAACGTGGAGCGACGGTGCTGCTTCCTGCCTGCAACATCAGATATGAACTCCACCCATTCTTCAACACCACCCCATCATCTGATCCCCCTGCCATTCAATCTCGTCCTTCAGGTATCTCAATATCAAATATTCGTTTTAAGGCAAAAAGCTGTACTTCCAAGTTCAATTTATACCAATCTTTTCAATGGCTTGTGTTTGTGTTCTCCAGTCTCCATAGTTATTAGCTATCAAGTATTATAGCATGATTATAATTGGAGGCTTTTGATTCAGCCTTGTATTTCAATTACATATGCGTATACTCTGCCAATTTGATTGATTTATGATTGGTCTGATAATGGCACAGGAAGGAGCCATGTTTCAGTAATTCTTGGATTCGTCATCCCTGTAGTTGCTTCGATAATGCTTTTTGCCTTCGGTTTCTGCTCTTTCGCGGGAAAACAAGGAAGAGAGATGCTTCTGTTGTGTAGGAAAACGGTAAAATAAGATAGAATATCATATCAATCCTTTTTAAAGTAATTCTATTTACTTGGTTTAATCTCTGGTCCAGGCATCTGACTTTTGTTTCCTTCATCAAAACGCAGCATTTGTCTGAGGTATAGATGAAGGCGGTATGACTCGTAAGAAATTTTGAGAAGCGGAGACATTGGGACAAAAATATTTTGATGAAACTTCAGTTTGCGTAGGTGGAACAGTCTTAGAAAAGTCTGTGGAGTGTGGAGTGCCACCTGCTGGCTGCAGCTGTGATGTGAGAAGTGAGACGAGAAGAAAAGTTGCGTGTGGCCCGAGTGCACGAGTTTGAACTTTAATTTGCAGTAATTGTTTTGTGCATTTTTTTCCTGATCTGTTCAACTTGTACATTTTTTTTTTTTGACCAAACGTTCAACTTGTCCATTAACCAATGGATATTTGGTTGATGACCTGTGGCCTGCCGGGCGCAATTAATGTCATGCCGAACGGGACACGACTCTCTTCAATTTTTTTTTCCTCCACTTCCTCCATTTCCATCATTTAAATTATTTTATTAAATAATTTTTTTAAATAATAAAATTAATAAATAATAGGGATAGGGAGAGTGGAGGAAAATGAAAAGAAAAAAAGTATAGAGACCCCTCTCTCATGCCGAACTCACTAACGCAATGTACGATTAGTCAATTACGTTACTCTGCGCCTACGGTCTACATCATATTCATTTGAATAATTTTGCTTCCCTCTTCTTGATTTTAAAATTAATAAAAATATATAACTTTTAATTTTATTAGTTTTTATAATTAGTAACTGTAATAAATTATTATCTAATAATTCAAATCATAAAAAATTCAATTTTAATTTTATTTTATATTAAAGACAGCATTAATATCATCAATTTTTAGTACAACAGTTTGTTAGTATGTATTTAATTTTCAGTTTATCAAAAATTTATTTAATAAAAGTATTAATTTAATAAAAATTAGTTATTATAATAAAATTTATATTTAAATATATTTTTTTAAAAATTAATTGGTAGACTGAAAATTGTTTGAAATATAATAGTGAAATATACTTTTACATGTATAATTATTAAAAAATACATTAATTTATAATAATTTATAATTTTTATTATATAAATATTTTAAATAACATAAAATTTAATCTACAATGCTAAAAATTGAATCTCTAGTTTTTTGTACTTTTAAATTTGTAATTTGAAAAAATGTGATAAAGATTTATAATTTTTATTATAGATTAATACTAAAAATTAACATAATTAATCATTTAATTTGTAATTTATAATGCTAAAAACTTGATATTTAATTATTATTATTACTGAAATGATAATTATATTTTTAATAAATGAATTATTTTTTAAATAAAAAATAAAAAATTAAATTTAAAATAATATAATTAAATAATACCTTATTTCTTAAATTTATTTTCAAAAGTTATAAAATGCAATTTTTATTTTTTCACATTTGAGCTCAGTTAAAAAGTTTTTTTTGAATCCACGTTTGATCTAATAAAATAACTTCATATAACTTTTCACATTTTAAAAATAAAAAAATACTTTTAAAAGGTCAAACGTAGACATGACAAATGGTGCCTTAAATTTGGAATGACCCAAAAATCCTGCCACAAGCAAGCGTCAGATTTTTTAGGACGATAAAGGGGGCTCGTTTGCTTTTTGTTTTTAAAAATTATTTTTTATTTTTTAAAAAAATAAATTTAAAATTTTACTTGAATAAGTACTTTTATCTAATTGTTTTTAAAAATTTTTTATTTAAAAAAATAAAAAATACAAACAACTTTGTTTTTATTTTTATTTTTTTATTTTTAAAATATATTATATTTGATTATTAAAATTATAGTTGCCTTAATCAATTTTTATTATTAATCACTTTCATTAACCATAATTATCAGTTTATTTTTAAATTTTAAAATTATTTTTAATTAACAATAACCAAACAGATTTTTATTTTATTTTATTTTAAAAATAATTTTAAAAGTTGTATTATAAATTAGTTTTTAAAAATAAAAAATGAAAATAGAAACAAACCACCTCTAAATTTCTGATTATGGACCGTACAAATGTCGGGATCAGTTCCTCCGGTAAATTTATCTATGGTACTCCATTTAATCTCATTTATAAAATAAATTTTATAAAATTTATTTAACCTCATTTACAAAATACAGCACAATTTTTAAATAATATTTAAAAAATATTTTTAAAATTATCTTTTATAACAGACAAAAATAACATAATATTATTTTTTAAATTTATTATAATAGACATATTTAAAAATTTATATTTTTTATTTTTTATTAATATTAATAAAATTGATAAAAATAATTTATAAAAAATATTCAAACAACGACTCATGGATAATAACATCTGCAGGGCGTCAGCCAGCCACCGATTTTGACTCAGACGAAGTTGGACTTCTCCGAAGAGAATCATTATCTTGATTCTCGCGCGTGAGTCTAAACTCTAAAGCCTTAACTTCTTCCTCCATCATGAATGGCGCGTGTATATCCCTTATTTACTACTCCCTTTATTATAAATTATAAAATATTTTTAAAAAAATTTAACATTTTAAAATATAAAATATTTTAATAAAAATAAAATTTTATTAATAATATTTTGTTAATATTATTTTTTATATATTTTTTAATATTATTTTATTAATAAAGTATTAAATGAATGATATTTTTATTTTAAAAAATAAAATTATAAAATATATTTAATAAATTTTATTAATATATAAAAATTTATTTAAAAAATTTTATAATTTGAGGCGGAAAAGTATTATTCTTTTTTAGATTTTTTGCATGCCATATCCCGCCTTGGAGATTCATTGGGCACTAGAGTACCGTTATACAGCTCATCAAGTCATCTTAGCCTACTGTGCTTATCCTGACTTTTATCGAATATTATATGCCGTCGACTTATCTACCCCCAATTAATGTGTTTTCAATTCTATATAATAATAAAAAAAAGGAATGTGACAATTAAGGAACTACAAAACCATTAATTATAATTAAAAAATTTTAAATTATTAAAATTTAAATAATAAACTATAATTTTTATTTAAAATTAAATATTTATGGGTTTATAAAATTATCTTTAAGTTTACAAAATAATAATTTTATTATTTTTTTTATTTTTCAAATGAAACTTGATTAGCTGTTTTTTATTTTTATTTGAAGACAATTTTACAAACTTATATTCCTCCGTTCAAAGATGTGAAATATTTTTAATCAAATTTCACTTTTCAATAAAATAGTTATCTACTTTTATTTATAATCAGAAGGATCCATAATTTTTTAATATTTTTTTATTCTCACCTCTCTACTCTCTTCTTCTTCACACTCGCAACATCTTCTTCTCCAACCTGTAACTCCGAACTTTCATCCCTTGAGACAACGATTGCTACAAACTTCCCCTCCCCCTTATTCGTCTTATCCGCTACCTTATGTACCGATAAGTATACTCTCTCTCTCTCTCTCATCCCTCTCTCCTTACTCTCCCCCTCTCTTTATGGATGGAAATGCAAGTCTAACATCGATGGTAGTGCCTACACAACCGTCTCTCTCTCTCCTCCCTTCCTACTTCGTCGTCTTCTCTATCAGAGTTGGTGGAGTAGGTGATCAAGTGGCAGTGCCTACACAGGCCCTTCAAGTGATCAAATGGCAATGCATGCATGATGGAAGAAGAGGCACCAATAGGGTTGAAGAAGCTGTGGAGAATAGTTGAGTTTATTGCCACCCTCCTCTTCCTTCGTAACCTCCTAAGGTTAAACCACAATTGACTCTAAATCATGGTAATTCAGGGTTTAACTCTCAAAGGATTACCACATTATAAAGTTTATAAAAGGAATTTCTCAAAATTCTTTTAAAAAAATTTTAATTTCGACAATTTAAATTTCAAACATAATTTAATAAGTCCAAATTAAAATTTTGAAAGTAAAGCGAAAGCTTTGAAAATCAATTGAAACCCAAAATAATGAGTTTTTAAACTCAAAAACAAACTTTGTGTAAAAGGTGACTTGTGTGCTGCGGCTTACGACATGTGCGTCGCGGCGTGTCTTCTTTGTGCCATGCGCTGTGGCGTGAGGCGTTGTGCTCCGCAGCGCGTTGCACGAAATTGACAGCATCAGTGCTGTCATTTGACAGCACGGGGAGTGAACTTCTGACATGTCTCAAATCTTCATCCGACATCTGATTGAGGTGATTTGGTGTCTACACGAAACTTTCTCCTAACTCTAGCTAATAGCACTGGTTTCACACTCAAACTCATTTTCTATAAAAAGTTAGACACCAAAACCCATTTTGATCACTCTTCACAAAATTTCATAAATGGAGCATTCCAACTTAACCACACGTGCTAATAGCTCATACTAAACATTCGACCACATTCAATATACTCTTGCGGACTCGTGCAATGCACCACACACAATCAAAAACACTTATGTCATAAAATCACCACTCAACCTTGATTTTCACAAAACATGGAGGGGGAGGAAATGTTGCACAAAATTAATCATTTTATTTTAAGTTTTTCAAAATACATATGTTTCTACTTACACAAGTATTTTGACTCTATCCATAGGTTCACAACCTAAAACTCATTAATCCACGGCATAAAATACACTAGTTATACATAAAATTATGCAAGTAGTGCATAAATCACGTCAAATAATTCTAGTTGGCAATTACATTAACAAATACACATGTAAATGATAAAAGAGAGGCATATAGATGATTATTCACAAATCCTAAGCCTCTTTATGTTTTCTCCAACTCGGATCCAATGAGCCAAATTCTGAAAATATTGAGAATTGAGAGGTGAGTACCACCATTCAGTAACCAAGTTTCACTTGATCCATACAGTTGCATATTAATTGTAAATAGATGCAATTAAGAAAATAAGCACAATTAGCACATAATATTCAATCGTAGTTCACAAAACTAAGAACCATGTAACTGGACTTGCCACGAAACACTTTATCACGTAATTCAATAAAAACATAACACAGGGTTACAAAAATAACAACCATGCGCCCTCAACACATGCCAGACCACAAAACTAACAACCATGTAGCCGAACTTATATGCATGATCATATGCCAACCTTATATCCACCTGTTACCTCTAATACGAAACCAGTGGCTATCACTTGGCTATGTCCTTCACGGACTTACCTAGCATTTTAGTTGTGAGGAGCTACCGGATCAGGGTTAACTCACTCACTTAATGTAATCTAGTTTCTCCCAATACTAACAATCATGGGGTGTCATATCTCTAATCTAGCCTTCTCATGAACCAGTAAAAACTAGTTAAGTTCGAGTCCATCATAGAACAAGTGAAACAGTCCCAAAACAATCATGGGACAAGGGCTATCTCTCGATTCTAACGGTCGGTGCCAAGGCCAATTCCCGATTCCAACGGTCACTGCCAATATCACGTGGTTTTCAACCAACCTACTTTTTTTCTAGGCAAACTCTCGTCGATGATCATACTGTGCACATTTATCACATAATATGCATCTAACAATAAATTAATTGCAACCAATCTCACATACTCATTTTAAATCACTCCACACATTCAACATATTGTATATATATCACAAATTTCTACTTTATAACAACATGCCACTAGTAAACATTTAAATCACAAGTAAATGGTATAGTCATCCTTTTCTTTTTTAAAATCATTTCACAAATCAAACACTTTACTAATATGCATCACTAATTTAAATTACAATTCATTTCACAAACACAATTAACATTCAATTATAAAGATTAAGTTTCCTCCGCTTACCTTAAACCTTTGAGATGTCAAAGATTTATCTCTCATTATTCTAACTTTTTTAAAGTTTCAACAAACTCGAATGGTGCCAAAAACAAACCTCTGCATCCATACCACAAGAATTTTATCATTATCTAACTTTTTAAGTTTTATCAATATAAAACTCCGTACACTCTACTTTTATTAACTCATAATCAGTATTCATTCATACCAATGGACTCATAAAATTTTATTAATAAACTTCATCATTGATAACATTTCAAACCATCATTAAAATTAAATATTTACTGTCAACTGAAATTCTCCCATTTATAATCTCCCCACCCAACCTTAATAATCGTCAAAAGGGTGTTGTCTTGACTTGTATCAGGAATGGCGTTCCCCACGCCACAACACAATCCCCCCGGAGTTCAACGCACTGCCTGAAAGATTGAAATCAATACAATACGAAACCAGATCGATACAGAGTTGTCAACAAAATACCATATATTATTACCCCTTTCATCAGAGTTGGAGCAGAACAAAACTATTGTTGAGCAATATGTCCTTCTCCAAATTCTCTGCAACACAATTCATACTTCTCGCTCTGTTTCTATTTCTGAGTTTAACAAGTGAAGCATCTCCTATTTTCAGCACCAACGCCTGTACAGACTCAGTCACTTACAAGCCCAACGGCACATTTGAATCCAATTTGAACGTCCTCCTATCTGTTCTTACCTCCAACGCCTCCCTCCACGACGGTTTCTACCGTACCACCTTGGCTCAGGGCACTCCCTCCATCATCAACGGCCTTTTCCTCTGCCGCGGCGATGCCACCCCCGACCTGTGCCATGAGTGCGTAGCCGACGCCGCCAAAGAGATAAGACGCCAGTGTCCCAACCAAACGGAGTCTATCATCTGGTACGATGTTTGTCTTCTTCGCTACTCGAACAACTCCTTCAACAACATCGTCCCTTCCACGCACTTGTCGGATAACGGCAGTATATCTAGCGCTGAACAGGGTCAGTTCGATCAATTGTTGTCAAACATGTTGCAAAATTTGACGGCAGAAGCTAAAGATTCCCAGACGGGGAAGAAATTCGCTGTGGGACAAGTAAACCTAACGTCGTCACAAACGTTGTACGGCCTAGTACAGTGTTACCCTGACCTGACGTCTTTTGATTGCAACATGTGTCTCCAAGGAGCCATTGGAAATCTGCCAAATTGCTGTAGCAACAAGAAGGGGGCAAGCGTTCTGTTTCCAGCATGTATCATTAGATATGAACTCTACCCATTTTACAACATAACCTTGACATCACTACCAGTTCCTCCTCGATCAGGTAATTTACTGATGAACACAATGCGCGATCAGCTTTCAATTTGGCTAAATTGCAATAAGAGAAAAACAAGTGCATGCATTATATTTATACATTGACTAACCTCTGGAAATAATCTGGTAATCTTGTTGTCCACTGATATATAGTTATGCAAGAGGACCAAGTTGTTCATACACTTGTCAGTTTACAGAGACTAAAGTTCAAATTGGTTTAAAATTGATCAAATTCTTCGTTCATGCTTTTAATTTCAGCCTTGAAAAAATTGATATATAGTTGTATATGTTCCTTTATGAGCAAGAGGGATCGTGTCCTGAGGTTTATTATACCGTAGTACTTTTTCTTTTCTTCACTTTATTTTTTGTTTTGTTTTTGTTTTTGCTTGATTGCAGGAAAAAGCAATATCTCAGTAATTGTTGCGACTACTGTGCCGATTGTTGCTTCTGTGACACTTTTTGTTGCGGCTTGCTGTTTCCTCCGTAAGAGGGCTGGCAAGAACAGGAAGTATACTTTCACGGAAGATGACCGTAATATATCCTTCCTACATTAATAATTATTGTTAATGAGTTCCATTTCAATCCTTGTTTCCAAAATCGGATAAGATAGTAATTTGGTGGCTCACGGCTTTATTTTCATCTCTTTGAAATGTAGTTCGAAATGATCTTACCGACATAGAGTCTCTGCAATTTGAATTGGCAACAATAGAAGCTGCAACGAAAGGGTTCTCAGATGAGAACAAGATTGGTCAAGGTGGATTTGGTTCAGTTTATAAGGTAATTAACTTTCTAATGTTACTTCTTGTTATATTTGTGCATTAAATTGAACGAAATTGGTCTAATTTCCAGCATGTTTACAGGGTATCCTCCCAAACGGACAGGAGATTGCAGTGAAAAGGTTGTCGGTAACCTCCTTGCAGGGTGCTGTGGAATTTAAGAATGAAGCTGCTCTTGTGGCCAAGCTTCAGCACAGAAATTTAGTGAGGCTATTGGGATTTTGCTTGGAGGGCCAAGAGAAGATACTCATTTATGAATACATCCCAAACAAAAGCCTTGATCACTTCCTATTTGGTTTGAACTTTGAATCTTGAAACAACTCTCCTGGTTCTTGATATCGCTGTAGAAATCAAGTCTAGGATGCAAATAATTCATTGCCATAAATATCTTATCTTTTACAATAATTCAAGAGCATAGTTATTTCTTGGTGTTCACATGATGTTACCTTTTAACTAAGTAATCCTGTTTGCATTGACTTGATAATTTCACTATGATGAATTTGCAGATTCTGAAAAGAAAGGAATGCTTGATTGGTCAAGACGTTATAAGATCATAATGGGAATTGCTAGAGGAATTCTTTATCTACATGAAGATTCTCAACTTAGAATAATACATCGTGATCTCAAAGCAAGTAATGTTTTATTAGATGACAACATGAAACCAAAGATTTCAGATTTTGGCATGGCAAAAATCTTTCATGGAGAACAAACTCAAGTAAATACGGGAAGAATAGTTGGAACCTTGTAAGTTTTAGACCATTACATTATCATTGGCAATATTTCATTGTTTTTTCTTAGCCTATGGATTAATATTTTTTTTTATAGTGGTTATATGTCTCCAGAGTATGCAATGCGCGGGCAATTTTCTGTGAAATCAGATGTGTTTAGCTTTGGTGTCCTAGTTTTGGAGATTGTTACTGGCAAGAAGAACACAGACTTTTATCAATCACAGCAAGCCGATGACCTCTTAAGCTATGTAAGTGAAAACTCAACAACTATAACATCTTCAATATCTGCTGCAAGTGCTTCCGAAATATGTATTTTTGGTGAGAAACAGTTGACAGATTCCAAAATTGAACACTTCTCCTTGTGTAAGTACAGGCCTGGACAAACTGGACACACAAAACACCTTTGGAGTTGGTGGATCCAACACTGGGAGGTTCATATTCAAGAAATGAAGTCACAAGATGCATTCATATTGCCCTGCTCTGTGTTCAGGAGAATCCTTCTGATAGACCTTCAATGGCAACTATAGCACTTATGCTCAGCAGCTACTCTGTTACTTTGTCACTACCTCGACAGCCAGCAACTTACATGCGCAGGACACCAAACAGGCAAAATAATGGTGTTGATTCTGATCAATCTACCTCTTCAATCCTATGGTCTACAAACGAAGCATCTATTACAGAATTGTACCCCCGATAACAGGTTTTTCTTCCATCAAGTGTCAGGTTAACTAATTAATTCTTGTGTTTAAATGAATTTGGTTGAGTTCATAAATTCCAAGTCCTCACAAGCTTCCGACTTTTTTCAGCTTCAGAACAAAACAAGCAAGGTAGACAGACTTATTATATGCGATCTCAATTACTTTCTTCTAGGATGACGTTAACCGGCTAATTCTGCTGGCGATATCATTCTGAGGAATTAGATTCTAGAAGCTGAGCCGAGTGCTATCCGCAGTGCGATTTACTTGTTGGGATAATCTCATTACCTTCAGTTTTGTTATATATTATTTGAATTTTAGAGTAATAGTAAAGTCTCTTGATTTGCTTGATCGGGCCTGTTCCACAATTCAGACATAATGCAGAAGTTTTTGTTGTCTCTATACAAGAGTTCAGAGACTAGAAATGCTATGGCCTTGACCTGACGACATGAACTTCCTGGCCCAGTTAATTTGAAGTATGTTTTTGGAAAACATGAAGACTGGCGAAACCAGCTGGCAACATTGAACGATTAACACAGCAAATATCATGTGTTAGGTCGTTCACTGCAACGGCATTTAGGTTGACTTGGACAGGATAGTTCCATAGACCTAAAGAGTAGAGACAAACTAAATCCATTTCTGCAAAATGGTTAATTAACAGACGCATGGTTCTATCCTACTGAACAACCTGCCTTGACGCAGTTTAGATTCTCGGGATATTTATATAGTAATTTATGCCTAAATAGTTTTGGAATTTTAAAAAAAATTACAGAATTGATAATTCAACGTATTCCCATCTTGAGATAAAAAACGTCACAAGTGGCTGATGCTGATTGTGCCACAGTGTCACCTACGTTTCTTTTCTTTTTTTTTTCTTTTTGATGAAAACAGTGACACCTATGCTTCTCTTGTTGCAATAGGAGAGGAGGCAGGTTCCAATCCAAAATGTTGAAATGTTAGGTGTAGTCTGTTATTAAAGGCTAAAATTCGAGAGCCCGTTTATGTTAAATTTATCATGTTTTTTAAGCTTGATCTTCATTGATAGGATTCAGGATCAAATTTGAAAGCCTGTATAATTTTTTATTTTTTAAAACAATTAAATTTGTAATTGTATTAATGCATAGATAAACTCAAATGAACCTAAATTAAAAATCTAAAGGATAATAATAAGCTCTAAAATATAACCAGATTTTTTTATTTAAATTTATAATTATGTCAATACACAATTTAACAAATTTTATTATTTTTATATATTAAATCAAAAATAAAATAAACCAATCGATTTTAATCATATTATTTTTAATATTAATAATTTCAACCAAATAATTTTTAACAAGATTGATTAAAAAAAGTGTGAAAAACAGCTTGTTTAAAACCGTAAGAGCCTTCAGTCAAAAAAAAAAAAAAAAAAAAAACCTTAAGAGCCTGATTTGAAGCCCGAACGTGAAGAAGGGAAGGGAGGACTTTCATGGACTAGCTTCATTGACTCGAGAGAGGAGACGTCAACGAAAAGATCTATTGCAGACCTCATCATATGAACAGCAAGAACTCATCCCTAGTGTAGGTTTCCAAGTTCCAACCATGGCTGGCGTCTCAGAGACTAACAGAATCATTACTATAACCAACTCTTCCTTCAACCTCATCCTCCTTCTTATGTTTCTTTGCTTCCTCTGTTCTCCCATCTCTGAAGCAGCAGAAGCCCCCATTTTCCTTCGGCAAAACTGCACAGGCACCGAAACCTTCGCTCAAAACAGTACCTTCCACTTCAACCTCAGAACCCTCCTCGATTCCTTAGCTTCCCACGCCACTGGCCACATCCAATTCTTCAACAACACCGTTACCACCGCCGCTGTCAGAAACCACTCCGACACCGTCTATGGCCTCTTCATGTGCCGTGGTGACGTCCCCCAGGACCTCTGTGAAGAATGCGTTTTTAACGCTACTCACAGATTCGGAGCCTCCTCTGGCACGTGTCCGTTTTCCAAAGGGGCTATACTCTGGTACGATGAGTGCATGGTTCGGTATTCCAACCAGTATTTCTTCTCAAAGATGGAGACAAGGCCGAGAATGCGCCTCAGGAACATCGGCAATGTCACCGACAATGTTAAAGAAAGGTACATGCGTTTAATGTATACAACCTTAAACGAAACGGCAGACAAGGCAGCGAAAGCTCCGATAGGGGTTGAGAAATATGCGACGAAGACATCCAATCTTTCTGCATTTCAGACGCTGTACTGTCTGACACAGTGCACGCCGGACCTGTCTCCCCAAGATTGCAGAAAGTGTTTGAGTCTTGTGATTGAGGATGTTGCGTGGTGCTGCACTTACAGGATCGGAGGAAGAGTTCTTTATCCAAGTTGCAACTTCAGGTATGAATTGTACCCTTTCTATAGACAACAGGCTTCAGTGGCTCCGACTCTCGCACCACCAGCACTTGTGAATTCTACACCTTCGTCGGAAGACAAAGGTCAGTTTAAAGATGATTCTTTCAATTAAATTTGCTTGTTTGTGTTGAAATTATTTTCTTGTACCGGAAAAAATGCAAGTGCCCAGATAACAGCAGTAGGCGTGAGGAAATTGAATGGTGATGAGTGAACCTAGTGAGCAGGGTAGACTAGACGAGTAATCAAAGAACTTCTGGAGTGTGAGTGAAGTGAAAGTGAACACATGAAAGGGGCTCACCACTAAGAATAACTGTGACTAGCTCTGCTAACAAGCCATTGACATAGAATTTTAACAGATAACCATAAAGCAGATGCAGGTATAAGGTGCTAAACCTTGAATGGAGATGAGCCATAAGCTGTCAATATGTTGAGAAAACGGGAATTATAGATGATTATGATGAAATTGCTTTCAATATCTGTGAAATAAATCTACAGCTAGTTTCATCATTTGGAACGATGCAGGTAAAAGTGGGAAATCTTCTGGGACAGTTGTTGCAACTGTGGTTTCAATTACAGTGGCTGTGCTGCTGTTTATAGTGGGAGTTTGTTTCTTGAGCAAAAGAACAAGGAAAGAGTATGACACTGTGGCAGATGGAAATTGTAAGGATCCACATAGTGATCTCAAAGTATCTAACTTTTTTCATTTATCTTACACATATACCATTTGGTTCTGCAGCTGCAAATGACATCGCTACTTTGGACTCACTGCAATATGATTTCAGTACTATTGAAGCCGCCACAAACAAGTTCTCTGCAGATAACAAGCTTGGTGAAGGTGGATTTGGAGAGGTTTACAGGGTATTGAGTTTGTATGCTTTTTGGTTGTCCTACATGAAGGAAATTAGATTGTTTTGCATATATCAGTTGATTATATGAATAAAACTCAGGGTATGCTTCCAAATGGACAAGAAATCGCTGTTAAGAGGCTCTCCCAAGGCTCTGGACAAGGTGGAGAAGAATTTAAGAATGAAGCAATGGTGGTTGCCAAGCTTCAACACAGAAATTTAGTGAGGTTTCTGGGATTCAGCTTGCAAGGACAAGAGAAGATACTCATTTATGAGTATATGCAAAACAAAAGTCTTGATTACATTATTTTTGGTAGGCTCATCTTATCTCAGTTTTGTGTAGGGAACAATTTATATGCTTGATCTGACCTTAGCTTTTCCTAATTCGACAATTTGCTCATGGTTCCAATATTGTTAAATGTGTAGATCATGAGAAGCAAAGACAATTGAATTGGAGACAACGTTATGAGATTATCAAAGGGATTGTTCGAGGCATTCAATATCTTCATGAAGATTCAAAATTTAAAATCATACACCGTGATCTTAAAGCCAACAATATATTGTTAGATAGTGATATGAACCCAAAAATATCAGATTTTGGTATAGCAAGAATTTTTAGTATTGATCAGACTCAAGGAAATACTAGTCGAATTATTGGCACATAGTAAGTACAGATTTTCAGAAGCTATTGCATAAAGTATGTTTTTGAAAACATATATATTTTAAGCTGTTCCTACCTTTTGATATTTTAGCATCATTGTTTAAGCAAACAAAAAACAATGTCACCATTGGAGAGTTTTGTGCCATTGGTTTTACTTTGCAGTGGTTATGTATCACCAGAATATGCTATGCATGGAAAATTCTCTGTTAAATCCGATGTATACAGCTTTGGTGTCCTCCTCATGGAAATTATTAGTGGAAAGAAGAATAGCTCTTTCCATCAAACAGACGGTGCTGTGGACCTTTTGAGCCACGTGAGTATATCATTAATTACGGCTTGATCCTCATTGGTTTGATTCAAGCAAGTCATCAGCTTCAAGTGTAAAGGAAAATTCTACTGATTTTAATGCAGGCTTGGAAACTTTGGAAGGATGAAACACCCTTGGAATTGCTGGACCCCACATTGATAGAATCTTACACTCCAAATGAAGTTATCAGATGCATCCACATTGGTCTATTGTGCGTTCAAGAAGATCCAACAGATAGACCTACAATGGCATCTATAGCTCTGATGCTTGATAGTTACTCTGTGACTCTGCCAACCCCCTTGCAGCCTGAATTTTTTGTCCCCAGTTATAATTGATATCTATATATATGGTTAGTTAGTTGTTTTCTATTAAAAAAAACCATTTATCCACCTGTCATCTGGATTGTCACTGTGATCTCTTGTTTGTTGCTAAAAATAGAGTGCAGCAGAAGTTGATGTTGGACTCACAAGTGGTAAGAATGTGAGATTACCATGGCAGCTGCATGAGACATCTATGTCTAGAAGTTTGAATTTTTAGTTTGTAGTTATTTCTTTGTATTGAATTCCTTAGGTTTTGGTTTTTGACTTTTTTCTTGTTTGTTGAGCATAAGCACTGACCACTGTATATTTGAACACGAGTAATCTTACGCAAGTGAGAAAAAGCAACCTATGTGAGATAATTTCATTTGAATAATCAATAGTGTTATTTATTTATTTTTTGGAAATCTGGTGTAAGGACTGTTAATGATAAAGAAAGACTAATTCTTCTGGGTAAACTTCATTAGATAACACAATTATCAATGTTTCCGTGATCCAAATTGAAAATTATCAATTTCAGTACAAGTGTTGACTAACACACATGTTTATGTTTGAGAGAACCAACAAGATTTGATCTTTCAATCTCTTTTTTCATTTCAGTTCGGTATTCCTTACTTCTAAAACATAAATTTTTTTAATAAGAAAAAATTGACTCTGAACATTTAATCTGATTAATCAGCAAAAAATATTAGAAATTCTTGTTAAATGTTGCAAGTATCACGTAATATTAAGAATTCATTAGACCAAAATTGTAAAAATAAATCTTTCTAAAAGATAGCTATTTGTTAAATTATTTTTAATTAACTGCAAGCAAGTGAGTTCCATAATATTCGAATCAGTTGACTCATCACCTAATTGGAGGCGGCGATATGGGTTGCTCGTGGACTCTAGGTGATATGGCCTGCTCGAGGGGTCCCTGTCAGCTGCGTGAAGCACATGTGGCGGGTGAAGTTTTACTTTCATCATACAACAATCATGCATGTCGGTGTTTTTTTTTTTTTTTTTTTTCACTTGAAATGAAAAGAACAAAATGGATAGCAATTTTTCCATTTACAGAGCGAAAAACTTTAACCACTGGCTGGAATCAGACAAGTCAAGTTGGGCTACAACTTCATTTCTTTCCCTTGGCATTGACTTCTTTAACGATGTAGTTTCCCCACCAATCTTATCTTCCACTATTTGGTACACATCGAAAAACAAGCTTAATCAACAGTCAACGAACTGTTCGTTAATAACTTTGACTACAACCTTATTGCAATCAATCCAAGTATCTGTTCGCCAACATGTCCATCTTCATCCTTCTCTCTCTCTGGGCATTTCTGAGCTTCACAAGCGAAGCAGCTCCAGTTTTCAGAAGTCATGACTGTACTGACGGAACCTCTTTCTCACCCAACAGTACATTCCAAGCCAATTTGCATGTCCTTCTCTCTTCCCTTGTCTCCAACGCTTCGCTCCAGGACGGTTACTACCGTACCACCGTGTCCTCGGCAACCCCTTCCACCATCACCGGGCTTTTCCTCTGTCGCGGGGACGTCACCCCGGACTTGTGCCAATCCTGCGTCGCCACCGCATCCAAGGAGATGACACGCCTCTGCCCAAACCAAACAGAATCCATAATCTGGTACGATTTGTGTATGCTTCGTTACTCAAACGGGGACTTGAACCCCATGGTCCCTGCTGTGAATTTGAGAGATGCCGATACCATAGCTAGCTCCGAACGGGATAGGTTCGACGCCGTGCTGTCGAGCATGTTGAATAACGTGACAGAAAAAGCTGAGACAGGGAGGAAGTTTGCTACGGCGGAAGTGAACTTCACATCGTCGGAAACCTTGTACGGCCTCGCACAGTGCACTCCTGGCTCGTCCGATTCTCTTTGTAATTCTTGTTTCAGAAGTGCCATCGGATCTCTTCCGAATTGCTGTAGTGGGAGCAAGGGGGCAACCGTCCTGGTTCCATCATGTAATATAAGATATGAATTTTTTTCATTTTACAATATGACCCACACGTCCTCTGAATCACTATTTCCTCCTCCTTCGGGTAATGATTGGATTTTAGCTCATTCATGATCATTTATTCATGATGATATTTGTGGTTAATATTACAATATTTTGTGCAGGAAGCAGAAATATCTCAAAAATTGTTGCGATTGTTGTCCCGACTGTCGTTGCTTTGGCACTTTTCGTTGTGGGTTGTTGTTTCCTCCATAGGAGAGCAAGCAAGAAGAACAACTCATTTACAGAGGATGGAAGTAATACTAATATCTCCTTCCCCATCTCAATGATTGTTCTTGTTTCGTTACTGACATTTTTCTCCCCCAAGGTTGGATATGGTTTCAGTAATTTGGTGGCTGACAGATTCCTCTGTCTTTGTTTTCATTGAAGATGGGACAGATCTTTCAGAGATAGAGTCTTTGCAATTTGACTTGGCTACCATAGGAGCTGCGACGAACAGGTTCTCGGATGAGAAGAAGATTGGTCAAGGTGGATTTGGGGCGGTTTATAAGGTAGTTAGTTTCTTAATTGTAAATTGCCGTCATTTTTGTCTGCTAAACTGGGGAAATTGGTCAGATATCTTATCATGTTTTTCAGGGCATCCTTCCAAACGGACAGGAGATAGCTGTGAAGAGGTTGTCGGTAGCCTCCTTGCAGGGTGCATTGGAGTTCAGAAATGAAGCTGCTCTTGTGGCCAAGCTGCAACACAGGAATTTAGTGAGGCTGCTTGGATTTTGCTTAGAGGGGCAAGAGAAGATACTTGTCTATGAATATATCCCTAACACAAGCCTCGGTAAGTTTCTATTTGGTTCGAACCTTTTGACTACTCTTCCTATTCTTGGGATCTCTAAATCTAGTCTTTTATGCAAACAATTCATTCTTATATCCAAATGATTTATTATATTCACATGGTTTTATCCACTGGCGGAAGGAGGGAGGACCAACAGGGCCGTGGCCCCCCAATGTTTTAAAATTTTCTTTATATTATATAGATGTTATATAATTTTGACCCTCTAAAATTTATAAAAATTTTGTAATATATATGTTTTTTAATTTTAGCCTTTCTTTATTTTTAAATCCTGACTCCGCCCCTAGTTTTATCATTTTTTGCTTCTTAATCCTGCAATTACTAACTTGAAAAACTCATTTTGACAAACTTGTAGATGTGGAAAGGAAAAGAATTCTTGATTGGTCAAAATGATACAAGATCATATTAGGCATTGAGGAATGCTTTATCTCCATCAAGATTCTCAACTTAGAATAATTCATCGCGATCTCAAAGTTAACAATATTCTATTAGATACTAATATGAACCCAAAAATTTCAGATTTTGGCATGGCAAAAATCTTTTAGGATGGTCAAACTCAAGTAAATACAAGAAGAATAGTTGGGACTTAGTAAGTTTTACATAATTCTCATCTCTGGTTATTTATTAATTGTTTTCCTAAGTTTAATGGATTGATATTGTTTATATGTAGTGGTTATATGTCTCCAGAATATGCAATGTATGGACAATTTTCTGTGAAATCAGATGTGTTTAGTTTTGGCGTTTTAATTTTAGAGATTGTTACTGGCAAGAAAAACACTGATTTTTACCAACCGCATCAAGCTGATGACCTCTTAAGCTACGTAAGTAAACTCGCCAAGTGCAACATCTTTCTTCAATGTGAGCAGCAAACGCTTGGGAAATATATATAGATAATGGATTCTAGTGTGAAACAATTGACAAATTCCCAATTTGAACATTGACTTCTTGTGTAACCGCAGGCTTGGAAAAACTGGACACAGAAAACACCTTTGGAGTTGTTGGATCCAACAGTGGGAGGTTCATATTCAAGAAATGAAGTCGTAAGATGCATTCATGTTGCTCTACTATGTGTCCAGGAGAATCCTTCTGATAGACCTTCAATGGCAACTATAACACTTATGCTCAGTAGTTACTCTGTTACTTTGTCACTACCTCGAAAGCCTGCATCCTTTATGCGTAGAAGAACACCAAATAGGCTCAACAATGATGTCGATTCTGATCAATCTGCCTGTTCGATTCTATGGTCTACGAATGACGCATCCATTACAAAACTTTACCCTCGATAAAGGGTTTTTCTTACACCCTGTGTGCGTTTGACTCTTCAAATTACATGTCTTTTATGTGAATCTGGTTGAGTTCATAACTTCATATATATGTGTGTGTGTGTGTATATATATCCTTACAAATTTCAGGCCTGTTGCAGGCTTGCAGTTTCAGAATGGGGCTAACAACCTTATTCTCCAGGATATGACTCCAAGCTAAGTTATCATTCTCATGGAGCTGAGTCCAAAAGCTAAGCCAAGTGGTTTTCACAATATGATTGGGACTAAGCCTCCCTCATACCTCATTCTTGTTGGGTTTGTCTCCTATTAGTCAAAGGGCTTTCGCTTTCTCTATGAGAAGCTCAGAACCGGCCCTCCTCTGTTCTTATTTTCATGCATACCATTAGAATTGCAGAATGCAAGTTCTTAGAGCTTTTAAGATACAGGTTTCAGACGTAGCAAAAGTCTTTGCTGTCATTTTATAGGAGTCCAAAAAGAACAGGAATTCTTGCTGTTATTTTAATCTGACAAAATGAGCTCCATTTTCAGATTAAAATTGTGTTGTGCAAATTTTATTCTTGTTCAGTGATATTAAGTAAAATACAATGGACTGCTTCATTCGTAAATTTGCTTGGTAAGGAATTACAGTTTAAAGCCTTCCCCTGCCTCCAATGGAGGAGGCTTCAACCACCATTAACATTTTGAACAGTCATTCTATTACTTTGTCTTTACCTCAGCATCATAGCAGTGGAAAAACAACATATTTTAATTCAAAATATCAAGACTCAAAATATCAAAGCTCAAGCTTATGGGTTATTCTTCTTTATTTTATATTGTTTATTAAGCTCAACTTTCAATTCACTTACACTTAGCATCCTAACAATATTGGCATATAAAGCTTGACTCTAATCAACCTTGCAACTCTTCAATTAGATGGACTAGGAATTGATTCATTAATTACTGGAAGTATACCCACGATAAAAGCTTGTTCTCATTGTATTACTAGATATGGGATCCCTATAATAATGGGATTAAAAATTTAAAGCCACGAGCCTGATTTACTAGGCTTGATCAACCGAATATAACATGGCTTCACTTCAGAGGCGTCCATATTTGGTGATGGGAGCTTTCAGTTGCATCCAGAATTAGCATAGCTAATTAAAATTAGTTGACCCATCTCAAGTCATAAAATCGGAACTCATCCTCACATTCTTTGATTGATCATAACTAGAGAAAGCATATATTGGGGAAAGATTGAACTTGCTGGTGGAATGCTTGCAGATACATAAACAAGAGCTACTTGCAATAAGTAAATGCACACATGCATTTTGCACA